TTCAAAAATCAGAGAAGGTGGAGAGATGGTACATTATCAGGAGACATCCGTCCAAATATCAGAGATCAAGGGAGATGGAACAGCACCAGAAGGTAGGGATATGAGACATCATCATGAGACATCCATCCAAATAGCAGAAATAATGGAGACATGGTGGGTATCCCCAAAAGGCAGGGAGATAGGGCATCATCATGAGACATCCATCCAAATATCAGAAATAATGGAGACGGTGGGTATCACCAAAAAGTAGGGAGATAGGACACCTATTCAAATATCAGAGATGGTGAAGAGATGGGGCATCATTGGGAGACATCCATCCAAATATCAGAGATGGTGAAGACAATGGTGGCTATCACCAAAAGGTAGGGAGATGGGACATCATCAGGAAACACATTTCCAAATATCAGATATTGTGGAGAGATGGGACACCATCAGGAGACATCCATTCAAGTATCAGAAATGGTGGTGACATATCACTAGAAGGAGGAGAGATGGAACATCATCAAGAGACATCAATCCAAATATCAGAAATGGTGGTGACATAGTGGCTATCACTGAAAGGTAGGGAGATGTCAGGAAACACAATATGATAATAATAATAATAATAATAATAATAATAATAATAATAATAATAATAATAATAATAATAATAATATCAGATATCTTGGAGAGATGGGACATCATTAGAAGACATCCATCCAAATATAAGAGATAGTGGAGACAATGGTGGCTATCATCAAAAGATAGGGAGATGGGACATTATCAGAAGAAATTCATTTAAATATCAGAGATAGTGGAGCTATATCACTAGAATGTGAAGAGATGGGACATCGTCAGGAGACATCCACCTAAATATCAGAAATGATGGAGACGTGGTGGCTATCACCAAAAGGTCAGGAGGTGAGACGTCATCAAATATCAGAGATGATGGAGAGATGGGATGTCACCAGGAGATATCTAGCCAGGATCTTATGAGAAGGTCAATAACTTTAAAGAGGGATCTTATGAGGTGCTTCCTGATTTCAACTTCCCCAGCTGACAGCAAAATGAAATCTAGAAGTGAGAAAGTAATTAGTTTAACAAGCACATTTTCTTGTGGTTGAGGGGTCTATGGGATGTTTGGAGTTCTGCTCTTATTCAGTGGTTGCTCCTCTCTTCTGGACTGACCTTCCTTGTTTGCTCAGCCCAGTAGTAATCAGACCAAGCATTGGACAACCCTGAGGAAATGATCAATATGGACTACAGATCCCTCAACCAGTGAAGTGAATACAGACAAAGCAAAATGATGAAAGCAGTGAGCAGAAACAGCTTCTTACAAGCTCTTGAGCTTACATATAAACACGGAAGTTGGGCATGTGTTTTGTTAACTGTGAGGTGCCATCACTGAAAAGGGTCTCCTGGTTTCCTTCCCCAGCTAAACATGGATGGATGGGGGCCCTTCAAATTAAATAATATAAAAAATAATCCCAGGACCGGACCAAACCAAAGGCCTATCTCTTTCAGGGTTGGTTCCCACAGCAGGCAAACAGATGCGTGATGCTGCTGTGTCCCAGTTGAGACTCCTGGTGGTACCAAGGCCATTGGTGAATCTATTCTAACCTTTAAGGATGCTATCTGGGGGGGCTGAAACACATCCCTCCCAAATAGGTTCAGTGCTTTGGATAGCTCCTTCAAAGTCTGGACTACAAACCAGAACAGACCATCACCCCACTAATGTGAAAGCCATGGAAGCCACTAGAGCAGAGATGGTCAAAGTGTGGTCCATTGGGTCCCGTGGCCATTTTGGTGCTTCCCAGAACCTCTCGGGCATCAAAAATGTCCCTAAAACCCTCTTGAGGATGCCACATATGAATCCCCCTTGGCCATTTTAGACCCGGAAGAGGCCTATTTCTATAAGACAAAGTGTATTTAAATTTGTTCATGTGTAATAGCCAGCACTTTCTCAGTCTCCCTCATGCATCTGATGAGGCAGATTCCACCTGAGGAAGTTCATCTTCTGTACTGAAAAATGCCATGGCCCTCTCCACTCGTTCTCAATCTCCTAAGAGTTCCCAACAATAACCAAAAGTCCTTGAAAAAGACACACGAGGGATGGACAATCAGTGCAAACTGTCCTAAAAATGTACCTCCATTGTTCCCACTAATCAATATGAGGCTAAGAGCCGGTGGAACACAAAACTAAATGTACCCAAGAATGGTTTTGAAAGCGTCGCAGTGGAGCAATTCTTTTTCCGTTCATAATCACCGCATTTGTCATTTCTTCCCTTTTCATCAGGTCAAATTGCTCCAGAGTCAGCCGCATTGCATCAGTAAGTCTCATTTTGGGACCAGCTTGCAAACTGGACCAGCTAACACAGAAATTGGTAAATGTTGCTTGGTCGAACTACAACTCCCAGAACCTGCAGTCAGTGGGGCCAGTGTCCATTTTATCCACGCTGTCCTTGTGGGTCTGGGGAGGTAGAAACTGTGTGCCACGTCTTATTGTATTGTACCTTCTATCGGGATCTGCAGCGTTGTTTCATAGTTCCAATTTTACAAAAAATACCAGGCAAAACTGATATATTTTATATTGATTATCTTCTGGCTGACCAACAGCCAGAGATTACAGCCAAGGTGGCAAGTTTCTGCTTGGCTGCAATAGCTTGCCGAAGTAAAATGGTGTCTTAATTTTTATTGTATTGTATTGCACTATTTTGTACAAATTCTCTCTTTTAGCATGTATAATATTGTTATATTTTATGCTGAATATATATATATTAAGCCTGCTTTCCTCACCGCAGCTTCCATCACCACCTCCAGCATCATTTGTACCAAGGCTGACTCTTGGTCTTTACTTTCCCAACTGCTAAGGTTCTCCTCCTCCTTCCTCTTTTGTATGATGGGTGAATTCTGGAATAAGAAAAATCAGCTCCTTTGAGATGTGGTGCTGGAGAAGAGTTCTGAGGATACTGTGGACGGCCAAGAAGGCAAACAAATGGGTTCTAGAGCAGATCAATTGGGTTCTAGAACAGATCAAGCCCGGATGAATCCCTGGAAGCCAAGGTGACGAATTTGTGGCTGTTGTACTTTGGCCATATCATGAGGAAAAATGAAAAGCAAGGATGCTAGGAAAGGTGGAAAGGGATGAAGACCTTCCAAAGAAGATCGCATACCTCCTCGGTTCTCATAGAATCATAGAGTTGGAAGAGACCACAAGGGCCATCCAG